GAAATTATACCTCAGACCCTATCCCTACTTGTGTGTATTTTATTCCTCCTAAACTCTATGAAGGCAGGGACTGGTTCTTCCCCTTTATTATCTACAGCACCTGTGTTATCACAAGGGCTTAAATGCTTGTTTGAATGAGTGCTTGTGGAACTGAACCCTAGAATCTCTCAGTGAGAGGGAATTAAGAAACCATCTGGTCCAAATTATATTTTGAAAAGGCTCTCCTCTACAACCCACTGGACACATGGGCATCTACCTTCTGTTGGAGTCCCCAGGGAAGGGACAACTCACTGTCTGTGGAATCCAGGTCCTCTTGCCTGAAATCTAGAGCCCTTTCCATTTCTCTGTGTTGTCTTCAAAATGTACGGTTCTTTTCCATGCAACAGACTTTCCCATTTTTGAAGACAGTGACTGTGGTTCTGCTAAGTTTCTCCCTCTCTGTGATGAACATTCTTCTTTCTCCAATGCACAGATTTTCTAAAGCCTGTTATTCTTCAAAATTCCTTCCTTTGCCTCAATGTCCTCCCGTCTCTTATCGGAGACCCCCTTTGAGAGGTAACCTAATGAAGAGGAAGGAATACAAGATTTAGAGTGAGAGGAGTCAGAAGACCTCACTTTAAATCTAGGCGGGTCCCTTGACCTCTTTGGGACTCAGTTTCTTCAACTGTAAAATGAGTGATTGGAGTAGATGACTTCTAAGGTCCCTCTGTCTTCCAATCAGAGAAAAGTTACAGAATATGGGTTTCAGACTTGTCCAGATTTTAATCAAAATGATGTTCAAATCTAGCTTCCTGTTTAGTGGTTGGAAAAACCCTTTATCCACCCTAGAGCACAGAGGAGAGAGGCAATGAATCGATGGGTGGAGAAAGGCATAGCTGCAGTTGAGTAAAAAATAACCCTGAGTCTTGTGTATGAGATTTTCCTAGCCCCTAATCACACTTGTGGTTTAGTCTTTTTTTTCAGTTATTCCTGACTCTTCATTGATCCTATTTTGGGTTTTCTTGGCAAAAATACTGGAGTGGTTTGCCATTTCCTTCTCCAGCTCACTTTACAGATGAGGAAACTAAGGCAAACAGGGTTAAATTTGTTCAGGGTCACACAGCTTATAAGTGTCTGAAGCTAGATTTGAATTCAGGAAAATGAGTCATCCTGACTCAAGGCCTGGTTATCTATCCATTATACCACTTAGCTGGCCCCCTCATCACACTACCTCTATTCATAATGCACCATTCTGTAAGTACAAGAGGAGGTATCCAGTGTCTAGCTAAGAATCCTGGGAGTTGTAGTTTTCATAGCTTTGGGAAGAGATCAAACTATGTAGACTCTAAGCTGAAGGGCAGGGCTTTCACTCCCACCCCTTTAACTAAGCTGGAGATTCTAAAGTGCTCAAAAGTGGGAGACACAAGGGTAGATGAGTAGAGCATAAGTAGAGATGGACAGACAAGTGAACACTAAAACAAATGGGAAGTCTGAGATGGAACTAAGAGAGAGGATAATAAGACTTAAAAGCCATCTTTCTCTAGATATGATCAATTTTTATTGGGTTTTAAAAATTTTAAAAAAATTTTTATTGGTTTTGAGCATAAGTCTTAATCATGTCTAGAGAGAGACAATGTAGAGGGGAAACCAGTGGCCAGCTTGTGTACACAGAGTTTTTTTTTCTTTAAATACGTCAGAGATTTCAATCTGTGGACATAATTAGGAACCTGTCCTAACACTGGCCCCAGGGTATTTGTGACTTTATCCAGACCTGCTAATGAGGTCCTGAAAAAATCAAAGACGGAGAAGAATGGGACCTGAGGTTAATGAGGTGTGATTGGTTAAACATGGGCACTTTAAGCAATCTCCATCCTCTGATGTAGAGAAGGAGGTTGGGGAGAGGAAAGGGCCTTAGCCAAAAGAAGGTTATGCCCTGGCTGAGCTGATGGTAGTGACAGAGAAATAGATGTGGTTTGGAAAGAAACAGGTCCTCCCTTTTTCAGAGAGGAGGGGGGCTGGCTCTTCTCAACCAAACTTTTCCTCCACAGCAGCACTTGCTGTAAGTAGTTGTTTCTGTGTGTGTGTGTATATGTATGTGTGTGTGTGTGTGTGTGTGTGTACATGTTTGCTCATATATGTGTGTGTATATGAGAGTGTGTGTGTATATGTGAGTGAGTGTATGTATGTGTAATGTCTATGGGAGTATGTGTGTGTGTGTGTGTGTGCGCGTGCGTGCACATGCGTTTCCAGTGTGGTGAACATCTAAGCAGGTATCAGGGGTCAGATTTGGTGTGTTCCACCTTGTACTGTCAGAAGTCTCATCTCAAGCCTACAATTTGTTCAAACCAAAGGGCATTTCTTTCTTCCAGCCTTCCTCCCCAGAGAAGGGCCACACAGATGGAGTAGGGAAAGAGTGGAATTCAAATCCCATTTCTGACATTTGCTAACTGTGTGACCAGGGGCAAGTCACTTAACTTCTGAGTTTTATTTTCCTCTTCAGTAAAATAGATAACATTATCCTATTCCTCAGAGAGAGAGAGAGGCATTGTTGCGTCCCCTTTTGAACTGTTCCTTTGGGTTGAAGCCTTTTAGGACACACACTAGGGATATAGGATAGTACAGACATACCTCAGAGAGATTTCGAGTTTTGTTCCAGACCATCTCAATAAAGCCAATATGACAATAAAGTGAATCACACTAGGTTTTTGGTTTCCCAGTGCTATAAAAGTTATGTTTACAGTACACTGTCATCTATTAAGTGTGCAACAGTATCATGCCTAAATACATATATATCTATATCTATATATCTATATATATATAAAACCTTAATTAAATTATTATTAGTTAAATTAAATTAATTAAAAAATAATTAAATAAAAAATATATAAAACCTTAATTAAAATACTTTATTGCTAAAAATTGTTAACCATCACCTGATCCTTCAGCAAGTCATAATCTTTTTTTTTTTTTTTCTGGTGAAGGTCTTGTCTTAGTGTTGATGGCTGCTGGCTGATCAGGGTGATGGTTGCTGAAGGTTGGGGCAGCTGTGGCAATTTCTTAAAATAAGATGACATGAAATTTGCTACATCCATTGACTCTTCCTTTTACAAAAGATTTTTCTGTAGCATCTGACGCTGTTTGATGATATTTTACCCACAGGAGAACTTCTTTCAAAATTGGGGTCAATCCTCTCAAGCTCTGCTGCTTCTTTATTAACTAAGTTTATGTAAATATTTTTCAATATTGTCATGTCGCAGGGAATAGGGAGGCTTGAAGAGAGGGAGGGAGATGGGGGATATGATTGGTCGTTGGATTAGTCAGAACATACATAACATCATTTAAGTTCACTGTCTTATAAGGGTGCATTTTGCAGTGCCTCAAAATAACTGTGATTGTAACACCAGAGATCACTCACTGATCACAGATCACCGTAATAGATATGATGATAACAAAAAAGTTTGAAATATTGTGAGAATTACCAAAATTTGTGACAGAGACATGATGTGAGCATATGCTGTTGGAAAAATGGTGCCAATGGACTTGCTTGGTGAAGGGTTGCCACAAATTTTCCATTTGTAAGAAATGCAATATCTGTAAACAGCAATAAAGTTAGGCACAATAAAATGAGATATGCCTGTATGGTGAAAAGAGAGCAAGACCTGGAGACCAAAGTCTGGGCTCCAAACCCTTCCTCAGATACCTGATAGTCCTGTGACCCGAGGCAAGTCATTGAACCTCTTCGAGCCCCACTTTCCCCATGTGGAGAATGGAGTTAGTGATATTGGCACCACCAACTTCTCAGGGTGCCTGTGAGGAAAGTGTTTTGTAAACCCGAAAATGGTATGGAAATGAGAGTTGTTAATAGAGTGTAAGCTTCTTGAGGGCAGGACATGTGTCGCTTTTGCATTTTTGAAGTCCCAGTGATTCTGCCAGAAGCTTTGCCCCATCCTCCTTAGTGCCATCTCTGTTGATTAGCTCCAATTTATACTGCATATTTCTTGTTTGCACATTGTCTTCCGCCTTAGTAAACTCCTTGAGAGCAGGGACTGTCTTTTACCTTTCTTTGTACCCCCAGTGCTTAGCACAGTGCCTGGTACTAGTTTCGTGACCCTGGGCAAGTCACATAACTTCCTACAGCTCTAAGCAGCTCAAGAAGACCAAGCATTTCAGAGAAGGTGCCAACCCGCATTGGTCTCTATCAATGAGTTTCCTCATTAAAAGTGGGGTGGAAGGGAGATGTCTCAACCTGCAGGAAGCTTTCATTGTCCCCTTCCTTGTTAGTTCTCTCTCCTTGTTGTATTTCTCAGTAAGAATACAGGCTCCTGGAAGTTGGGGACTGCTATTTTCGTCCTTGTTTTCTTAGCATCTAGCAAAGCGCCTGGCACATAGATATTATTTTTAACTGCACCTCTGATTTCATTAGTCTGAATTCCCAGTGAAGAAACTCCCTTTGCTAACACCTGCTCTTTAATATAAATCTTCAGAATAGCCTGGGGGCTCTGAAAGTTTAACTGTATGAGGCTCAGGCTCATGGAGCTAGTGCATATTTTGAATCCAGGTGTTTCTGACTCTGAGGCTAGCTCTCTTTCCACTATGTTAGGTGCCATGGTGGATTGGAGAAAAAACAAAACCAGGAAATCCTGAGTTCAAATCCAGCCTCGGACACTTTCTAGCTGTGTGACTCTGAACAAGGCACTTAACCTGTCTTTGCTTAAGTTTCGTCATCTGTAAAATGGGGATAATAATAGCAACTACCTCCCAGGGTTGTTGTGAAGATCAAATGAGATTCTGTAAATCACACTGAAAACATTAAAGAGCTATATACATGCTAGTTATCATTATGACATGTTGCTTCTAACTTTGCCTTTTAAAAAAATCTCTTTAACATTCTGGCACATAGTAGATTTTTAATAAATGTTGGTTGAATTAAAACGAACTTTTATATTCGCCCTAACCAAATACCACCCTCCTCTGCCCCTCCCCCTTCAGAGCTTCACAGCCTGGAGATACAGTTAACTGTGATGGCCTCTCCTGGGAGCCCTCCAGACATCTTACTCAATGCCTGCTTGGATGACCATCTGATAGTCTCCTATGACAGCCTTAGTAAGGATCTGATCTTTAAGCTGGATAGAGTCAGTGCACCCATGCAGAACTTTCTGGTTCAGCAGAACCGAGAAGAACTGATGCGATTAGAGGCAGAGGTCCATCAGATGCTCAAGGACAAGATGAAGTATTACAACTGGACCGAGGGTGAGTTAGCTCTGCTGGCCATTCTGCCTTTGGTTGCCTTGGTCCCTTCTCCTGTTTGCTCTTCTCTTCCCAGATTCATTCCCAGGAGATCAGGCCATGGGACTGAGTGCCCACTGTATCAGGCCACTGTTATTTACTCTTGCCACCCTGGCAAAGAAGAAACAAGACTGGTTCCCTCCTCCTCCTACCCTTAACCTTGTTGATTGAGTGAAGTTTAAACTTTCCCCCCTGGAATTCAGAGCCCTCCGCATTCTGGTGGCCACTTACCTTTGCAATCCTGCCCCATTTTACTTCTTTCAGCTCTGTTCTCCAGCCTGATGGGACTAGGCTTTGTCCCCTGAACACAGACTGTGCTTTCTTATCTCTATACCTTGTAATGTCCTACTTCCCCTTCTTTTCTTGTTGAATTCCTACCCATCCTTTAAAGCCCAAATGAAATGTCACCATGTCTAGGAAGTCTTTCCTGATCCTGTAAGTTGGTAGCAGCCTCTATTTTCTGATCTCACATAAAACATCATCATCATCATCTCTCTCTCATAATTATCTTTGATTGTTGTATATAATAATTATCCTCTTCTTAGACAGTGGGCTCTAAGAGGGTAGGAATGGTGCTCTGTATTTCCCCTGGCACCTAGAATAGGGTTCTACCCACAGCAACTGCTTAAAAATGCTTGTTGAATGAATGGCTGAATGGCTGAATGCATGAAGCCCAGTCCCGTCTCTTCCCTCTTCCCTTCCCTTATCCCTAACAGGGTCCCACACAGGGCAGGCCCTTATGAGCTGTGAGACTGACGGGGGCATCCTTGTGAATGGTCAATTGGGTATTGCCTTTGATGGTGAAGATATCTGCCAACTGGATATGAAGCAAGGACAATGGATAGTCATAAAGAAAGAGGCTGAGGATTTCTGTCCATATCGGAAAGATGCCTTCTGGGACAAGGCAATGAAAGTGGATTGTCCCTTTTTCCTAAAGATTCTCTTGCAGATTGTGCACCTGAAGGAAAAAAGTAAGTCCTTGGTACCTTCTTACATTTCTCCTTTGGAGCCATCACAACTCCAAGGTGGGAGTCAAGAGTCCTGGGTTCTGGTCTTGCAGATGACAGCTAGCTGTGTACCTTTGAACAAGTTACAGAAAGTCACTGAGTCTTAGCACCCAAATTTTAAAAATGGGACAATTGTTGTAGGTACTGAAGTGGAGAAAGTGCTGAACAAGGTGATGTATTCAGGAAGACCTGAGTCTGAATCCTGCCTCAGACCCTTACTAGGGATGAGTCTTTAAGAGTCAGTTTACTCATCTGTAAAATGGGGATAAAAATAGCACTTAACAGGGTTATTGTGAGGATCAAATGACATAATACATATAAAGCACTGCTAAATAAAAGATACTATAATTGTAATACTAATAATCATTCTGATCATACCTCTTCTATAAACCTAGGGATGACATGGGGATTGAAGGGCCCATTGGAGTCATATGAGTAAGAGTAATACATATGAAAACAGGAACATGTCTGGGGAATAGCAGAAGGCTAGGTGTGTAGCCTAGGGAAAACTCTGAGGGAAGAAGATCTGGATGCCATTTTAGGAGAAATTAGATTTGAATTTGAAGTGAGAGGGAGGGAGAAATAGATTCTGTACATGAATGGACTAAGTTTGAGGTTCTTCTTATGAGTTGCCAGAGGTGGGATAAATGTATGATAATCATAATGGAGATGTTTGAAATGCCCATGAAATCTAGGTGAAATGATATATGATCTTGAACATGACCCTATGGCTGCCCTGTTAACTCCTTCTGTGGGGTGGATGGTAAACGGTGAACTTCTATAGCCCAGGCCCTGTGGTATTCTTACGGACTGTCCCAGTTGTCTATGGCAGTGAGAATGAGGAGCAAGGATGGTGGGGAAGGAGAAGGCAGTGAAGCAAAGAGAATAGCAGACCATTCTTGCATTTCTGTTCCCAGCACCCCCTGAAGTGTCTGTATCCCGCCATCACACTTCCGATGGCAGCATCATCTTCTCCTGCTTGGCCACGGGTTTCTACCCTCGTTCCATCCTTCTGCGCTGGGAGAAGGATGGGCAGCTGGGTGTGTGGGGGCAGGAGAGCTCCAGTGGCACCTTACCCAATGCTGATGCCACCTACTACCTCCATGTTACTTTGGAACTGCCACCAGGGGATACAGGAAAAGGTTATGCCTGCCTGGTTGAGCACAGTGAGCTGGAGAAGCCAACCGTGTACCCTGGTGAGTTTTCCTCCGGAGGGGTGGGGGAACACCCAGAATTCCTTGAATTCCATGCAGACAACCCTATTCCTTTTGAACACCAGAAGGATTAAGTGCAGCAACTGACTCAAAATTTTATTATAATTTTCCTTTGAAATAAAAAAAAATATCCTACAAGTAGGTTACAATTAGTGTGAATAAGAAATCTCCCGAAGTGGTTGCATAATTTGAATTTGTACCACATGTTTCTATTGGGCTGGAACCAATGACCATATCTTTCACAATTATAACTTCCAATAGTTTGAATTTGGATACATGGGTCACCTCAGAGGATTCATTGCTCATGCGGATCAGGAACTATCTGTATCTCTATTTTCTTTGCCTTATGGATGGTAAAAATCATTGTCAACTGATGCAGTTTGCTCCTTCACGGTATTCTTAAACTCTGGTCCTTCTAGTATTGAATCTGGGGTTGAGATCCAACATGGGACAATCCCTCAAAAGCAATCCAGAACTATATCCAGGCCATGAGACCACTGTAGAGGGATTAAGGACACAGTTCTCCTCCCTCCAACTTTCCTGAAAGGGATAATGGGAGGACATGTTGGACCGTAAGCTGTCAGTGGACAGAGTTCCCCATGGTGTCACCTATCAATTCCATGGAGGATCTCCTTCATCCTTCCATTTCCTCTTCCTACCATTTACCTAGTACCTTTTACCCCCTATAGTTCCTGGAGAGACAAGCAGGGGAAGTCTCTGGGCCACAGCCCTGGTTTCCACAGCAGCTGCTATCCTTGTGCTGAGCTCATTGGCAGCTTTTATCACATGGAAAAAGAAGACAGCGTGGGGTGGCCAGGGAACAGGGAGGGCAGGTGGTGAATGGGAAGGAGAGGTTATTGGTCCTGACAGGGGTCAAAGAGTTGAGGGAACTTTTGGAGAGGGTTCTCAGGGAAGTTTTCTGGAAACTGAGTTCTCTTGACCTACTTGCTATGTACAGAGTGATCTTTACTGGCAGAGAGGAGAGAGATTACAGAAAAACATCATTGCTAAAGGCAGGAGGCTGGATGAGATGGCCTCTCAACATTTTCCTCAAATTGATTGTCTTTTCTTATTTTCCTCCTTTTGACTTAAATGTTATATGAGCTGGTGAATATGGGGAAGGAGAGGTCACTCTCTGAGGAGAACAGATGGCAGGGGTGTGTGCATGTGTTTTTATGAAATTCTCAAACCCTACTCTCACATTCCTTCCAACTTCTCCTTTCAGATGTTAGGAAATTGGTGTGGGGAGAAGGCTTTGGCTAAACTAAATATCATTTTTTCCCCACAGGGAGGACCCCACTAAGTCAACTGGAGTGTTCATTCTGACCTCTTTCTTCATCTACTGCTCTGTAGGAGAAGACTGAGGGAGGCCCTCACCATACGCTCTGAGCCAAGCATGGGTTGCCGATAGATGCTTCCCACGTACTAATGATAACAATGACAGCACACATCTCTCTGGTGCTTTATGGTTTTTAAAACAATTTCCCCACATGGCACACAGTGCAACAAGCATTCTCTTCCTTTTACAGATGAGGAAACTGAGGCCGGAAAGGTGAAATGACTTGCCAAAGGCAATTAGAATTACAACTTGGGCCTAGGTCTTCTGGTTCTAGGTCTGGTGATTTCCCCCCATCATAACAAGTCCTGTCTCATCCCCTGGTAGTGGGGAAGGACTTAGGGAAGAGAGAAAGAAGTTACAGCCCTCTCCTTCATCCTCACCATCACCATCCTCCTCACCATAATCCAATCTGGGGCTCTGTCTGTGAAGGATATCCATTTACCCGAGGGACATATCCTATCCTCTGAACACAAAGCATCTCCTTTAAGTACTGGACAAATATTTGTAGCTGTGTATAACACTTGCATCTCACCTTCCATGGGCAATAGAATATTTAATTCCAATCTAGAGGTGGCAGAATTAGAGAGAAAGAGGACCTGGAGGAGGGCCGAGGATATGAAGCAGCTTTCCATTATGGAATGGAATCACTGAATCGTTGTGACTGTCTTCCATTACTGTCTAACCTTTGAGAACAAGGAGAATGAGACATAGCTGTAGTATGTAACAAGATTAGCTATTCATCAGGCCAATAGGAAGATGAAGAAAGAGAAGCAGGCTGGTGCATTGAGAAGCTGGTTTATAGTAGTCTGTGCTGTGTTGACAGTATGATGCTATTATGTGATAGATACATACAACTCCAAGTGTTACAGTAAATTAGGAACTTTTTACTTGGTGGTCATGCTTTTTTGTTGCTATTTAAAAATTGATCATTTGATTATTTTAGTTTTCAACATTCACTTTGATAAGATTTTGAGTTCCTCCCTCCTTCCCCTTTCCCCTCCCCAGGATGGCAATCTGATGTACAATGTACATGTACAATCATATTAAACATATTTCCACATGAGTCATGTTGTAAAAGAAGAATCAGAACAAAAGGGAAAAACCACAAGAAAGAAAATGACTTTGATTTGTGCTCAGACTCCATAGTTCTTTCTCTGGATGTGGATAGCATTTTCCATCCTGAGCCTTTTGGAATTATCTTAGATCATTGTATTGCTGTGAAGAGTCACGTTTATCAATGTTGATCATCACACAGTGTTGCTGTTACTGTGTACAATGTATTCCTGGTTCTGCTGATTTCACTTAACATCAGTTCATGTAGGTCTTTCCAGGTTTTTCTGCAATTTTCCTGCTCATTGTTTCTTATAGCACAAGAGTATTCCATTGCACTCATTTACTACAATTTGCTCAGCTATTCCCCAGTTGATGGGCATCCCCTCAATTTCCAATTCTTGGCCACCACAAAAAGAGCTGCTAGAAATATTTTTGCACATATGGATCCTTTTCCCTTTTTTATGATCTCTTTGGGATATAGACCTAGAAATGGTGTTGCTGGATCAAAGGGTATGCCCAGCTTTATAGCCCTTTGGGAATAGTTCCAACTTGCTCTTCAGAATGGTTGGATCAGTTCACAACTGGTGGTTATGCTTTTTGGCATACAAGGCAGGCTGTTTGGGAGAGGGGTAAATGCAAAGAAATCTTTTTTTCACAAAGCTGTGAATGTCTAATGAGTAGTCTGCAAAGCTTTTCTTGATAAGAATTAGATATATACATAGAACCACACCTCACTCCATTCTATCCTCCATTAAGCTGCCAAAGTGATTTTTCTTAAAGCACAGGTCTATCCATGTCACCCCCTCCCCACTCAATAAATTTCAATAGCTCCTTATGACCTCCAGGATCAAATATAAAACCCTCAAACCCTCTGTTTGAAGCTCAAAGCCCTTTAGAATCTACTCTTCTGTGCCACCTCCCTCCCTCAACCTCCTCTCCTTTCCAGTCTTCTTCACCATATGCCCTTCCACATATCTTTGATCCAGTGACACTGGTCTCCTGGCTGTTGCATGACCAAGACACCCCATCTCTTGGCTCCAGCCATTTTCTCTGACAGTTCCCCATGCCTGGAAAGCTCTTCCTCCTCATCTCTGCCTCCTGGCTTTTCTGATTTCCTTCAAGTTCCAGCTAAAATCAGGTCTTCTACAGGAAGGCTGTTCTAATTCCTCTTAGTTCTAGTGCCTTCCCTCTGTTAATTGTTTCCTATTTGTCTTTTATAAAGCTTGTTTGTATATATTTGTTTGCCTGTTGTCTCCCCCATTAGATAGTGAATTCTTTTGCCTCTTTTTGTATCCCCAGCACTTTGTGCGGTGACTTGCACATAGTAGGCACTTAATGCTTATTGAATAATTGAAATAATTTTTTTTAAAAGAAAAAAGGGGGAAAAAGGAAGAGGAAAAAATCAGCCAAACCAATTAATGCACCTAAAAATTCTGAAAATATAGGCAATGTTCTCTGCTCATGGACCTCTCACTTATGCTATGGAGTAGGATGAGGCTATCTTCTCGTATCTCTTCTTTGGAGCCATGAACTTCGAATACTGGACCTAGAGACAGGACAGATGAGTTTAAATCTGGCCTCAGATACTTATCTGGCTTTAGACAATTATTATTACCTGAAGAAATCATAGTCTCTCTCTGCTTCAGTTTTCTCATCTGTAAAATACAAATAATAATTGCATCTACCTCCCAAGATTGTTGTAAAGAAAAAATGAGATAATCTTTAGAAAGCATTTTGCAAAGTTTAAAGTGCTTCATAAAGGCTCTTTTATTATTAAGTAAATCCTATGCTTTTGGCACTGGGAATATAAGTACAAAGACTGAAATTATACCTACTTGCAGGGATTACATTTTAATGGGTAAGCCAAGAACACAGTACAAATGTGAGTGTGTGTGTGTGTGTGTGTGTGTGTGTGTGTGTGTATGGCACACATAGAAAGTATATAACTCTGTGAGGATACAAATAGAAAAAGGAAAAAGATCCCTGTTTGTTCTTCAGGAGCTCACATATGAATAGGGAGAGACAACATATTTGGGAAGGTTCACCTGTAGGGTGTATGGAAAAGCCTAGTGGTGATTGATGAAGGGGGACAATCAACATCACTTCCTTCATAATAGATCAGGAGACACTTTTGGTACAATGAGAAAACCTTTCTTTCCTTTTGGGAATGTGCTTTTCAGTAGACCCCAGGTGAATAGATTGACCTTTCAAAACTTAATGCTTTAAATCAAGTCTAGAAACCCTGGAAGAGAATGGGTCCAGGAGGGCCAAGGGTGGAAGTTACATTTGCTTCTTGGCTGTGCCAGCTGGATAAACAGAAGAGGATTCTGTCAGTGTGCACAATCCTCCCTTCATCACTTCTTAGGTATAGATAGCATCTTTTGCATAGTTGGCAGGATATGAGCTTCCTACTGAATCAGGGTAAGAATCTCTGATCTGGTATGACCACCTCAGAATACAAGCGAATATTTATTTATTTGTTTGTTTGTTTGTTTGTTTGTTTGTTTATTTGAGCGAGGCAATTGGGGTTAAGTGACTTGCCCAGAGTCACACAGCTAGTAAGTATTATATGTTTGAAGCTGGATTTGAACTCAGGTCCTCCTAACTCCAGGGCTGGTACACCTTCCACTGCACCACCTAGCTGCCCCTGTGAATATTTTTTAAGATACATATTCTGGGATTTCTGATGTACTAATAATTAAGTGAATTAATCAGCAGCATGAGTGTGAACATACTTAATTTTGCTTTCATATGTAAGGTAGAACTAAGATTGGAGTTATCTATTTATTCAGAGAAGAGCTGACTAGGTCATATCTGGAGCAAGATTTCACAAACAATGGGTCTCTCTAGTATAACTAACTGGATTGCATCAGTTTCCCAAGTTTTCTCAGTCCCTCTTACTGCTGAAAGATAGACATAGACCAATAAGTTGCCTTCCAAGGGGTCCTCATTGTCAAGGGATACATAATTTAAATAGAGCTCCCTGGGCACTGACCTGAATGGGTACATTCCAAGGAAGACCTACCCAGTTATACAGTCATACCAAAAGGGACAGAATCCCAACACTTTGGGTAAAGAGGTTCCTTGTTCAAATGGTCCTTTGGAAATTCTCCCCATGGCTCACACGTGAGATTTGTTTAACTATATCCCTGCCCAATGGCCAGACCAAATACAGTGAGTAAGCTGGGCCTGCTGATGATCATTATTGGCTTATAGGAGTGTGAAGAGTTGACTGATAATCATAGATCTGGATCTGGAAGGAACCTCAGAGGTCATATGCTACAACTCCCTCATTTTACAGATGAAGAAACTAAGGCAAGTTAAGGGGATTTGCCCATGGTCCTGCGGGTAGTAAGCTTTAGAGGTAGGATTTGAATTTAGGTCCTGACTCCACAGCCAGTATTCTTTCTACTGGACCACACTGCCTCTGATGAGAGTCAATTTCATCTATGTAATTCTGCTCCTCTTTATTCCGCAAGTGTGTGTTTGTGTTTTTTTTTCCATCCTGTCTTGACTGCATTGCCCCTGACATACTCTTGGTGGGGCTATGGCTCTCATACAGTACATGTGGTTGTGCTTCAGTACTTCAAGGGACAGCTTGGTGGTGCAGTGGATATGGTGATGAGCATGGAATCAGGAAGACTCATCTCTCTCAGTTCAAGTCTGGCCTCAGACACTGACTGGCTCTATGACTCTGGTCAAGTCACTTAACCCTGTTTGCTTCAGTTTCCACATCTGTAAAATGAGCTAGAGAAGGAGATGGCAAACCACTCCAGTATCTTTGCCAAGAAAACCCTGAAGGGTCTCATGAAGAGTCAGACACAACTGAAAACCAACCAAACAACAAACAACAGTACTTCAAGGATCCCTGATTTCATGGGTGTGGCTGCTCCCTCTATCATTGTGGGTCACAACCTTATATGCCTTAACAGGCTATCCTCTTGAATTGCTGTAGCAAAAAAAAAATCTCCAAACTTAGGAATGTGGGTTCTGAGATACAGATACAGTTCATCACTGGGCTCAATTAAAATCTTTCCACTTTGATAGAAACTGCCGGAACATTCTATCACTAGTATATTTTCATTTACATGCCATGATGAGAGAGCAAGGTTTTATCGACCACTTAATTACTATCCAGGCATCTGTTTTAGGAAGCTATCCACTTCCACTTCTGAGAGAGAGAGAGAGAGAGAGAGAGAGAGAGAGAGAGAGAGAGAGAGAGAGAGAGAGAGAGACCAAGTCTTTCATCCATCTGTAAGTTCCCACAAAATAATTTGGTCCCTTTTTCCTTCTTATTCTATCTTCTTTTACTCCTTTGGATGATTTCCAGATTTTATCACAGAACCATGGAATTTGAGAGCTGGATGGGATCTCAGAAGTCATGTAATCCAATCCAGACTTACAAGGATTTCCCCATCATAGTGTAGCACACCTTCATTCACTTTGGCTGCTACCTGCTATGTTTTAGGTTCTCAAAACCACCATTGAATTTGATGGGTGTCATACTAGAGTTATCATCTGGACTGCCTTAGGAAGGCTTTCTCATCAAAGACTCACCTAATATGGGAAGATTGATCTCCATCCATTGGGGAGATATTAAGCACAATTACAGCATATAAAATGATCCAGGGACAAGAAAATATACACATATACTTTCCCTGTTCATTTCATCAAGGGTCAGCACCCCAGGAGAGGTACACAAAGATGTGCTATGAGATATAGTGCTCTGTTACTTATGTCACCCAGTAGAACTTTTACTCAAAGTCCAGTTTGGATTGGAGTTGAGGAAGGAGTCCAAACTCACCACTTGGTGAGCACCACATAAGGCAGAGTAGGTATTACATCTGGGCTTGTGATGGGGTGAGTAGAGGCCTTTTATAGATAATATAGGAGATGTAAGCACAAGAAAGGAACAATTTCAAGAAATGACAGGGTAGCTGACCAT